AGGTTAAATACCTTTTTTAGTCCCTCTACTATAGGAAAAAGCCCATTTTTGGTCCCTATACTGAAAAAATCCCTTTTTTGGTCCTTACTGTTCACAAATCCGACCCCTTTTTGGTCCTTCCATTAATTTTTGCTCATGTGGCACATTAACTTAACAGAAACAGCTGATGTGGATATAATGATACCCTCCACGTCTCCTTCCATGTGCGGGAAAAAGAAAAAGAAAAGGTTAAATGCTAAATTTGATCCCTCAACTTTTTAAGTTTGCATTTTTTTATCCTTAGATTATTCTTTTCACTTTTTTGATTTTTTAACTCTAAAAATTACACAATTTTGATTCTTTCGTCAGTTAAACATTACGTGGCAATTAAATAATTCCATTTGACATTTTCTTTTAATTTTTTTGATGACATGACAATTATATATATTATAATTATGTTATATAGATAAATAAAAATGTTACATAGATAAATATTTATATTTTAATTTAAACATAAAAATACATTATTACCCTCAACTCTCAACCCCTCTTCGTCCCCTTCTTTCTTTCTCTTTCTTTCTTTCCTACCCAGATCGGCTGGGTTCGTCGAAACCCAGCCTTGCTTGCTGCTTGAACCCAACCTTGCTGCGTTTGTCAAAACTCAGTTACTGGTTTCATTAAAGCCACTGAGTTCATCAAGTCAATAAATATCATCAAATCAAATTAACCATTTATAAACAATATCATTCAAACTCTAATCCAATTCCAAGAAAAATGCAATCAAACTCTAATCCATAAGAAAAATGCAATCAAATTGTAAATCAACTTTCAAATTTATCAAGAACTAAAAATCAAAAATAGAAAGAACAATGAAAAAACATGAACTCAGCCCCAACCATGCTGGTCACGCGAACCCAGCCTTGCTAGTTTCGTCGAGCATGGGTTGGTCAAACCTAGCCTTGCTGGTCGCGCGAACCAAGCAGCTGGGTTTTGATGAACCTAGGAAGGCTTGGTTCGCATGACCAGCAGGGTCGGATTCGCGCAACCAAGACCAACAAGATTGGGTTTGTTCGACCAGGACCAGCAAGCGAGAACAGCAAGGAGATCGGATTTCAGCAAGCGAGAAACATTGGATCGGATGAAATGATCGAGACGGACGGGATTGGATCGATCGGAGCGGATTTCATGTTCGTGTTTTGCGAAAGAGTTACGGAAAAGGAAGGTAATCAGTGGCAGCTGGGAGATTTCGAAGGGTTTGGAGGAATTTCTGCGCAAAAGTTTTGAAGTGAGATGCAACATAGAAAGCAATGCTCGACGAACCCAGCTACCCAACTCGTCAGGACCCAATCAATCTGCATAGGAAAGAAAGAAAGAGAAAGAAAGAAGGGGAAGAAGAGGGATTGGGAGGTGAGGGTCATACTGTCATTTTATTTTTTAATTAAAATATAAATGTTTATCTACGTGATATTTTTATTTATCTATATAACATAATTATAATATATATAATTGTCATGTCATCAAAAAAATTAAAAAAAAATGTCAAATGGAATTATTTAATTGCCACATCATGTTTAACTGACGAAAGAATCAAAATTGTGTAATTTTTAGAGTTAAAAGATCAAAAAAGTGAAAAGAATAATCTAAGGATAAAAAAAATGCAAACTTATAAAGTTGAGGGATCAAATTTAGCATTTAACCTTTTCTTTTTCTTTTTCCTGCACGTGGAGGGTGACGTGGAGGGTATCATTATATCCACATCAGCTGTTCCCGTTAAGTTAACGTGCCACATGAGCAAAAATTAACGGAAGGACCAAAAAAGGGATTTTTTCGGTACAGGGACCAAAAAGGGGCTTTTTCCTATAGTAGAGGGACCAAAAAGGGCATTTAACCAATATAATATAATATAAAGAATATGTCATACTTTAGTAACATAAACAAAATATAAGTGGTCATCTATCATTTGTTCAGTTCAAGAAAAAGATCAAACAAAATACAGCTAGTCAATATCACTCTTGGTTAAGTAATCTGGAACTTCTTCTTTTGGTGTTTATGTCCCCTCAAACTTGTCCTCATCCTCATCATCCTCATCCACACATTCTTCCTCATTTTGTTCAGCCGAATAAGATAATTGCAAGTCCTCACCAATCACCACTCGTTCTCCTCCCGAAGATGCTAGCGAAACATGATCATCCACAATAGTTGAGGGTTGCACCAATTGCAGTATAGGAGGATCATCATCCTGATAATAATTATTTACACAATCACCCAGAGATGAAGTGTCAATTATCGCTCTTGCCCTAATCTTACAAGCAGCATACCACCCTTTCCTATGTGGATTTTTAAAAGGATAAGAAGTGTAGAACACTTGTTGGGCTTGACTTGCTAAGATGAAAGGTTCATTTGTCTGTAGTTTATACTGAGAATTGATGTCAACTATATAAGAAGACAGATGGATCACAATGCCTTTGTTGAGATTATACCAGTCACAATTAAACAAATCACTAATTGAGGAACATATGAGTCAAAATAGTGAAGTTTGATAACTTCTTTCAATTGCCCATAATAATCTAACTCATCATCATTTAAGGTAGTTCCCTTAACACAAACCCCACTATTTATGGTCATTTTGTTTTTCCATATGAGATAGTATGAAACCAAAATCCATTAACCTAGTAACCATTATATAACGTAACATTACTGACAGGTCCAGTTACTAAAGTCAATAGGCGTGGATCAACCTCGTATCTTCCACTGCGGACTTACATTTGTTATAAAAGTGTTGAATATTGTGTTTTTATTAAAATTAAAATTGAAATCTTAATAATACAAAAAAAAAACTATAATAAATGACTCACCGTTGTTTTAAACCAAGAGATAAACTCAAGTTGTCGTTTCATTTCAATTTGGTCTGATGATAGTCCACAACATATTTGAGATTCGAAAAGCCTACATTAAGAAGTGGTAGTAAACAATCTATAAATTTTGTTATCCTAAATAAAAGAAAGGTAGAGCATAATGTACGCAATCCATGGATTTACTTCCTCACAATTAAGTAAAACATAAAGTTCTGCCATCCATGTTATAATGAGTCTTCATGTTTAGCATTTCTGCCATCCATGAAAGAACAGTCACATTCTGTTCCCCACTACCTATATGAACTTCTGCAGCATGCAAAAGTTCTCCTTATTATATTCACCCTGTGGACCTATTGCATCAACTAACATTTCATGATACATTGCATCTGGCTCATTTCTATCAAACCCTAGGTTAGAAAATTTCCCTATAAAGTTTCTTGCTAGATTGTTGGATGTCTCTCCATGAAAATACCATGTATAATAATTGTTCATAAATCTATGCTTGCACAAATGCATGGAGACAACCTCAGGGTTTCCCCATTTCCTACATCTACATTTGGAACAAGGACACTTGATCTCTGATTTTTCCTGGGGTCTAGAAAATGCAAATCTCACAAAAATTTGTAGCCCCTCTTTAAATTCATTAATAACAAAACCACTATCGTCTACACGACAATCTATTCAACTGCAGTCCTCCATCATTTAATTACCTGATCTGAATTTTAATTTGACAATATACATACTGAACTTAATTTTAATAATTTGAAATAAATTACTTTATATATAAATTTATATATAAACTCAATATATACAAATATGAATCTAAGTCAACAACTAATAAGCATCTTAATCTCAATCTCAAAATCAATAATTTAAAATAAATAACTTTATATATAGAAGTCAATAAAAATATTACTCTAGTTCAACACCCATATGAACTTAAACTTCAATTTGAAACACCATAACTCAAAGTCCCTAAACTTTATATATATAAATTTAATAAAAATAACACTTCAAGCATGCATATCTCAATATCAATATCAATATCAAACATAATCCCAAAATCAATATCTACAAACAAATAACTTTGTATATAAAACTTTAGTACAAATATACTCTAGTTCAATACCCATATACATCTTAAACTCAATCTTAATATCAATTTCAACCTCAACCTCAATCTCAAATGGAATACTCCAAAATCCCGAACTTTATATATATAAATTTAATCAAAATTACACTTCAATTAGCATACATATTTCAAACTCAAACCAAAAATCAATAATTTGAAATAAATAACTTGACATATAGAAATTTAATATAAACATCACTTTGATTCAATAGCCATGCACATCTCAACCTCAATTTCAAATGCAATAATTCGAAATTCCTAAACTTTATATATACAAATTTAATAAAAATAACATTTCAATTATCATACATATCTCAATCTCAAACAAACTGAAAGAAATAACATATATATATGAAAAAACCTGCACTTACCTCTAGTAGTGAGTATGATAATGCTGTAGAGGTTGGATTTAAATCTAAAATATGTAAAGAAAAGAAAGGATAAGTTACTATAAATCCAAAAACCATTGCAAAAAAAGAAATTTTCAGTTAAGAAATTGACCGTCCAAGATGCGAGGAGGGGCGAGGCAACACCAGTCTCCAATTTGGGTGATAAGGTAGAGGAGATGAAGGCTGGATTTTGAATCTACAAAAATAAAAAATGGGCTCTCATAGATCCAAATCAAAATTTAAAATATATAACTTTATACATAGAAAATCAATATAAATATCATTCTAATTCAATAATTTAAAATAAATAACTTTAT